TACACCCTCCTCCCCCACATTCACACCCTCTTCACGCTGTTATTGGCCAGCTGTGTAGGGGTGAGAGTGCCAGTGTTTGAACCTCTCTCTTAAGCTCTCCCTTTCCATTCTTAAAGGTCCAGTGTGTAACATTAACTGGCAGAAATGGCGTAAAATATTGGTATGTTTACATTCGTGTATAATCACCTGAATATAGGAATCATTATATATTTAATTACCTTAGAATGAGACGTTTATATCTTCAGATGCTGCAGGTTGCCTTCCACAGAGATTCTCCTTTACGCTTGGAAGGGGAGGGTGAAGCGAAGGAGGAGTAATCTGTAATTACACCTCTAGATGCCATTAAATCCTACACACTGTACCTTTAACACAACTATTTCTGTCACTTTTGATGTGTGCAAATGAGCGCAACACTATTCTGTCTTTCAGGAGACTGTCTAAAAAAGTGCATCTCTCCCCTCTCCATAACCATCTGACGTGGTTGGACAATGCATCATACAGCCAGTTTTCAAGCAAGACCCGGCTCTGAGAGTCTACAGCTGCACTAATGCTGTCAGAAAGTAAAATTAGTTAGTTTAGTGTGTAGCACTAAACACAAACTACAGCTGAGGCCGATGGGAATGTCATTTGTTTTGCAGGTCCTGGACAAAGGAATATTTTGACCTTTAAATTGTGCTAAAAGTTAACAGATTACCAAAGTTGTTAAAATGTATCCTGTAGTTAACATGAATGCCTGTGCCAAATTTCATGGCAAACCATTTTGAAAGTTGTCCAGATAGTTCATTGTTAATTAAAAACGTCAACGTGGATGTGGTGGTGGAGGAAAAAGAGTGTTGGGGGATAACTAAAGTCTTTAGGATACATTATCTGGAAGTGTTTGTACAAAGTGTTGTGCCAATCCATCTCACAGATGTTACGGTATTTCACTGAATAAGAGAAATACTGTAGATGAAAAGTCTGAAGATCACCAAAGTCATTATAATTTATACTCTGGAAAACTTAGATATCAGTAGAAAATCTAATGGCAATCCATTTAGTAGTTGCTGAGATATTTCAACCAGAACCAGTCTTTTTGATTTGATTTAGAAGACAGCTTTGATGATAGAAGAAAGTCTGGATTTGGAAGTGCAGCAACACGAAGCAGGTCAGACTAGCGGCCTTGAAACAGTGATAAAAAGCTTGTTAGTCAGAAACATTACTTCAGGCTCACTCACATCTTGTTAGAACACTCGTGTGAATGAAGATGATTGACAGAAAACACAGCTGGAAGGCCTTTTTAATTCCTGTTAATGGCTGAGAAGAATCATATTCTATGCCAGAATAATCTAATGCTGCCTCCTCTCTCGAAGTTTACACATTCATCACCGGCATACAAACTATACTGTACGACATTCTGACACAAGCATGCAACTGCACAGCAGCATCATTTTATTTGAGTGCTGAGAATGTTAATTAAATAAAGGTGTGTAAGTATTTTTTAGAACAATTTAGTATCAAAAGTACTCCATGCAGAACAATGGCCTATGTTACACTAATATATATCATACTATTAAATTATTAATGCTGATGTATTAAGGATTTTACTGTTGTAAAGGTAAGGCTAACTTTTGGGAGTTTAATCCATTAATATCATATTTGTTCAAAGAATTGTGTGTTTGTACATAAAAATATATGTAGTAATATATAGTAATTGTAATTGTAATTGTAACTAAACCATTACCGCCCGCTCCAGCTGTGTGTATGTCCACTCCCACCCACTATGGCAAGCATTCTGACCATTCACTCCCACACAATAGAGAATTTGTTTCTCCTCCTGTCCCGTAGGTGAAAAGATGTTATTTCACTGTGTCAGTAACAACTGAGAAATGTCTCCAAATGCCAGACTTGCGTTGTTTTGTCTTTAATTTAATCTTCATCTTCTGTTGGGTGCAAGATAAATCCCAGGTTGACCATAAGATTTGCGTTGGGTCCTGCGGGATCCCACTTCCAATGCAGTCCTCTACGATGGAGTAAAATTATATGAAATGTTAATACTCAACTATTTCAAATTTGTGCTTAAATAAATGTATTTATTAAAATGTTGACCACTGCTTAGATGTCAGCATAGAAACAATCCATTTTTAGCATATTTCAGATTAGTGAAGCTTTATTGACTCTGTCTCTCATAGATCAGTACTCGAGACAGACCACAGTCCACTACCTACTTATGTCCAACAGGAGGACGACAAGAGTCAGAATATTTAAACATATAACAGAACATCATCACAGTGCGTATAATAAAAATTAAAGAAGGGAATGCTTGATGTTTTATGTCATATATATTTTATTTAAAGAATACAATTGCAGAGCTTCTAAGGTTACTGTGATGCATGGGCAAAATTGAATAGAAACACTGAGCCCTAACCCCTACAGTGTCACACTGTCTGCTAACTGTTTCATTATAAAGATGAAGCACTCTGTATTTCCTTCAACTATGAACACCTAAATGAAAATCTGATTTTATTTCGGTTGCAACTTTTTATCTTTTTATTGTTCAATACCTGCTGCTGTCTGTGTCTTTCGGTTGTGAGTTATGTTGAGTCTCTTGCTGGATATAATGCAGTAGACATATACCTTGACTCAGCGAACATATGCAACACACTCCCTCCTCGCCTCACTCTAATGTAAGGAAAACACAATTGTTATTTTCAGGTGATTGTACATTGATAATAACATAGTTAAGAATATTAGATTCCATTTCTGCCAATAGATCCTCTTAACTGTTACACACTGGACCTTTAACTGATTATAGTAAGAAGATTTTCACAATTCTTTGCTTCTGCGTTGCTCAAATTAGTTCATTTAATTGAAGTAACAGCACAGTCGAACACTCACTTGAGAAATTTGCCCCTGTTGACCTAGTCAGTGTTGAAGTGGAGCACATTGCTATTTCTAGTTAAACAAATAGTCTTAGCAGCCTCTGTGATTCTCAGGCCTTCTCCTCCTCCCTAAATCCATTATTTTATGGCTCCCTCTTGGATTTATTATATCAATATTGCCATCAACATCCGTGCTGATCTTCCCAGCTGTATTTAAACATGCATTTAAAGAAACAGTAAAAAGGAAGTTTCTAATTAAGAATATATCTTATATTCTTTTCTTAAAAATACAACTTGATGTTAATATGTTTGTGTGTACCACACTAAAAGTGTGAGGCAACTACGTGACTTGAGTAGGCTACCAGATATCCACTGCCTGGAGGGGAGTTTTTGGAGGCTGGTGACTCTGCCACATCAGTACAGTGTGACACAACCTCCAAGTTACTAATGTTATTGATCAATCTCACGATTATTCCAACTTGCTTTAATTGTTAACTGGTTCATTTAGAGGCAAGGTTCTGCTGGGAAAGGTGAGCAACACAATGTTTCAAGGAAGCCATTAACACACATTGTCACGTGACCACATATTTTGGAAGAGCCCTTCATTTCAATAAGAGGTAGGCACAACCTTTTTTTTATGATTTTATGCTGAAGTGGTCAGGATTATACAGCCTGCAGTTGAGATATTAAAGAAAGGTCATAGCATAGCTAACTAACAACTCACAGGCTAGGATGACCTGGATCAGTAGACAGATAATGAGTAGATTCTTTCCTATACATTTTATCCATGCTAGCAGTGTGGGATTGCAGTATCAGTCTGTCTGTCCACTTTTGTCCGGACTGAAATATCTCAACAACTATTGGATAGCCACTGGCATCAGGGATGCACATTTTGAGAAGCTGTTCCTCTAACCTGAAAAAATAACCCTAACCCTGACCCTGCTGCCTATTTGTCAAACAGCTAGCTAGATAAGAGTGGTTCATGTGGTAGCATACTATAAGGCAAGATTTTCATTCACATGGCGTCCTATTGTGGTTATATCATTAGTTTCCACAACTTCACCCTGAACCCTCACACAACAGTGCCAATACCAAGTTTGGATCTATCTATCTATCTATCTATCTATCTATCTATCTATCTATCTATCTATCTATCTATCTATCTATCTATCTATCTATCTATCTATCTATCTATTTATCTATCTATCTATCTTTAAGTTTGGATGATATGGTGATTTAATTTGGTCTAACTTTAGCAATTATAGGCTACTCGTATGTATGCAGCCACAACAGCAAAAATAAAACAACTATTTTTTTCTCAGCTGAAGAAGGCTGTTGCTCAGTTAATTTTATCCCAGCCTTGTGCATGTCAATGGCAAGCACGGCTGTAGACTTTTAGTTTTGTTAACCATCATTGAGTTAAGGTGTCACAAAAGGTGGGATTGCATGTCTGTTTACTGCTTTCGTTCCATTTCCTTCAAAAACCATATAAAAGTGTTCAAATGTGATGCTGCTTTAGCTCAACATATCCTTTCCACATGCTGCACCTCAGTGGGGCCATTTGGGGGGCAAAAACTTTTTTAGCAAATCATAATTTCAAAACTATATAATCTGTTGACTACCAGTGATCTACAACATCCTAAATTACAATATATAAACCTACTGCATCTTAACTGGAGAAATAACTGTCATTACCTTTTTTAAGTGAGTAAAACATTGTTCATACTCCCCCACTCTCCCCTACTTTAACCCATTGCCCACTGCATAAGCAAAAAGAGTCTATAAAAACTACATGCAATGAAGATTTAGTGTTGAGTGCTTTTTTAAGAAAAACATTTTTTTAAATGCAATATTAATCTGTTGAGTTACTTGAAATGGAAAATAAACCATTCTGAATTGTTGTAAGCAGAGTTGTGCGTGTCCAACTGAATCTATGGGCTGACATATAATCTTATAGGCTACAACAGTGACAATGCTCATGAGCAGAATGAATGCACTAGAGGGAGTTAAAGTGCATTTGAGAGCAGTGACTGAGAGAGAGAGATGGAGGGGAGGGAGAGAGAGAGAGAGAGAGAGAGAGAGAGAGAGAGAGAGAGAGAGAGAGAGAGAGAGAGAGAAATTTATACTTAAGCAGGATCAAGGAAACAGAGCTGGACATTCATGATCTGGAAAGGGGAACTGACCAACATTTAAGACAAACCATGTGAGGTGAGTCAACATGCTTTGAACAACTTTATTTTGGACTTTATGTGAAGAAATAACACTAAGGGTTAACCAAGCATACACTCTACATTTTCAAACTCCCAGTCATAAAGGTTCTTGCAAGAAGAGTTTGGTGTTCAACTCAGATATTTCTATGTATATATGAATGTGTTGCTAAGTGATTCATTTATGTCTCCTGTTCTCTGGTTACACATTCACATGCTGTTAGTGAGCATGTAGGTGAGTAGTTTTGTCTTGATCAAACAGCATAGCCTATAGCTTGATCACACAAGCCATAACACAAAGGACATATTTTGAATTTCATGCATGCATGTGTGCCATTTATTAGAACATCATTGCTCATTTGAGTTAGCTTGTAGTTTCACTTTAATTGCTCTGCATGTTGGTCTCTTTGCTGTAGGTTTTAGTCAGGATTTAACGTTGGACAAGGATGGAAATGGTGGGGAATCAGTCACTAAGTTTAACATAGTCACTTTTGGGTGTATGGAGCCGCATGTGACTGTTATTTTAAGTGGGGTTTATTTTTTTAATTTAGTTTCAATGTGTCTGATATTAATTACTCAAAGATTGATATGTGTGCAGTTATATGTACACTGATAACTGAACATCACCAATTCCAACTCAGATTTTTTTTACTATGGTTGTAGGTTGTTTAATTTGTATTTCACAGTTTAATGTTTTATCACTCTCTCTTGCTGACTTCTTACACTCATTTAAGATTTAGGTCAAACATGACAGTGTAGCAAGTTGATATGATTATTACTAGCAATCATGTGGGAGTTGTTCCAGTGAGCCACAAAGCAATTAAATTTATGTTTCTCAAAAGATGTTACTGGTCTGCTTAATGGAATCAATGCATCCTTGATAAGCAAATGGAAAGAAAATGTTCTTTCTTCAGTTAGTGGCACAAAAAGTACAAGAAGCTCTGTAGCAGAGGACAAGGCAAAGATCCAAATGCACTGTACACAAATCATATAACTTCTCCTTGGACACGACTTTGGCAAATAGCCAAAGGACTTTCCATACTGCTCTAAGTGGTTTCACTTTTCACGTGTTGTTAAATTAGATATCTATATTGTTGGCCCACCTTGTGTCATTGTGGCCGGATGTTTTGCCACATTGTTATCACACACTGTTGACTCATCTAGCTCACCAGCTAGACTTCAGTTGTTCCATGATGCCCAGCTTTGTGTGCAGATATACTTCTATTATATCAACAGCTGCTAAACAGAAACATGATGTCATAGTGTACGTGATATCTTTTGTAGATCAGATCCATGTCTGATGACACCAGTCTATCTGTCAACTGGTTATTGTTAATAAGCAAAAACATAAGAATTGAGATATGCTGTACATTGCTATAAGAGTGGTGGCATGCAGCATTGTGAGTGCAATATGTGTTTACACTTGGTCATGTACAGCTATAGTTTACAATATGTAGCTTTGGCTCTATTGTAAATATCACATGACAGGCTTCTGTCGCTCCAAAGTATTCAATGCCAGTCCTCTGTATAGTAATGTCTGTTTGTATGAATTTTTCTGGCACATTCTTGCAAAAAAATTAACGCATGTTCTTTTGCCACTGAGACTGTCTGGGAAGCAAGAAATTAATTATGCAATGAACTGTAAAATGATCTCAGGTTCTCATCATGGTAATATAGTGTTATGTTTCACTTGATACCTTAGTCTGGTGGTGCATTAGCAACAGGACGAAATGAAAGTGGAGACAAACATGGATCATTTGTTTATATCTGACCGACTCTTTATGGTCAGTGAAGCCCGGTTCTTAGCCCCAAATGGGAGCAGCAGGCTGATGAGGGACACAGCTCGATCTATACTCTTTCAGTGCTGAACACACAAAGTCACCATGGAAACAAGAAGTGTTTATCCCTGAGGGGAATCTATTGACATTATTAAAAACCTTAAAACCTTGGATTCTCTGAGTGGCCACGTACAGCGGAAACAATGGATATAAATCAATTAACTTGTAGATTAGGAAAACATCATGTAAACATTTAATTTGAGATGATTAAACTATTGTGCACTGAGAGTAAAGTATTATTCAAATTATTATTAATAAATAAACAAATAACTTTTGAATAACCATATCTCATGTGAAGCAATTAAAATTCACTGAACAGTGGGTGTAAAATCCTAAAACACATGTGGTATATATATATTCTCTCTCTCTTCATTATAATTCATCATTATAGACATCATTATTTGAACACTACTCATTTCCTCTATCCTGACTTAAACATTATGACGATATAACCGCTGCTCTTATCGCTGTCACTGTAAACACTTCATATCATCATGTCTGCAGGGATGATATTGTATTGGGAAAACCCTGAATGGGGTCACAATCCTTCCTTAAACTAAACATGAATGAGCAAGCAAGTTTGTTTTGTTTAACAGGTGTGATAAGGTTGGAGGTACTGATATGCTGTTATCTGTGTCAACCATATACAGTACCTACTATTCAATATTGCTTGTGTGTCATTGTGTCTTTAGAATCATGTCTGGATAGAGAGGTTGGTTAAGGCATGATCCAGTCCTGATGGACATACACTGATCAGCCATAACATTAGGACCACTGACAGGTGAACTGAATTATCTTGTTATCATGTCAGTGGGTGGGATATATTAGGCAGCAAGTGAACATTTTGTCCTCACTTTGACATGTTAGAAGCAGAAAAATGGGCAGTGAGAGGATTTGTGCGACTTTGACAAGGGCCAAATTGTGATGGCTAGACGACTGGGTCAGAACATCTCCACAACTGCAGCTCATGTGGGGTGTTCCTTGCCTGCAGAGGTCAGTACCTATCAAAAGTGCTCCAAGGAAAGAAAAGCAGTGAACCACAGACAGGGTCATGGGCTCACTGATGCACGTGGGGAGCAAAGTCTGGCCCGTGTGGTCCGATCCAACAGATGAGCTACTGTAGCTCAAACTGCTGAAAAAGTTAATGCTGGTTCTGATAGAAAGGTGTCTGAACACAAAGTGCATCACAGTTTGTTGCATATGGTGCAGCATAACATTATTATATACAACATTATGACCACAAGGTTGCCCAGGTGGTCATAATGTTATGGCTGATCAATGTATGCCAGCTGTATGAGAGCTAAAAAACGAACCCCTCACTCGGAAAAAAACAAATTTTTCATATGTTATAGAAGTTCCCCTAACTTAATGTCTTAAGTCCCCCTCTTCTTCAAGTAGGTCTGAGGGGTCAGAGGTCGGTATCAACTGTGTCAAACACCATTGGAGCTTGTATGGATTTAGCCATGAAGTGATGAATTCGATAATACAGGCTCAGTCATATTTATGCCAAGTTTAAAGCTTGATGGTGCTCTTTAAGCAAAGTTTCTTTCTTTTCTTCTTTAATTTGTTTTAAAAATAAAATGAATCCAGTAGGATGAATGGTGGTCACGTGTGTTTTAAAGCCTCTTAAGTACCTCTCATCTAATGTCACTATCAGTCTGCTGTTGCGTCTGCTTTATAATCATTAATCATCAAACCTTAATTAGTGAATTTGAGAACTATCAGTCCACGCCAAACATCATCCATTTTTTATGGGAGTACATCGGATGGCCTTACTGTAATAAGGAAGCAGTTAACAAATGAAAAAACAACACTATTAAACATGCAGAATGTATACACTGTCAAACTGCTGGGCTACTTTCTATATTGGCCAGTAGTACTAGAATTTGCTTTACTGTACATTTTGCCTACTGATTGATTGATGACATGTAAAGCTTTCTGGTAATGCAAGTGAAACATGAAACATGCAAATGGATTGAGATCATTAAATGAAATGAGCTCTTACTAGAAATCTGTTTAGCTTGTATGTTAATAAAGATGGCCTTCGGGGTTGCACGTGGTAAAAGGACTAGTGATTTTAGGATGTTATCTGATGATGAGGACTGGGACCAGTCTGGTGGTCCAGATCATATTTTAGTCATCCATACATCCTTTGATGTTAATATTCACCTGTTTTATCCCCAAAAATAGATGTTAAGTGAAGAAGTTTGAAGTTGGTCTTTAACATTCTAAAAGTAGCCAATTAAATGTCTTAAAGTGCATTTTAAACGAAAGGTATGTGGTTGGATACACAGGAATTTTTGCTTTTTTTCAGACTGGAGAGATTGGATTTGTTTACTTTACTCCTTAGACTGTGACTGAATGTTTTATGATTGTTTCTAAGATCTTGTCTTGAATTAGCCTGACAATGATGCACAATACAGCACAGCCCACGCTTCCGCAAAAGCTTTCTCTCCGCAGCAAATTGTCCTCTGTCCAGGGGACAGCTCCCCAACCCTAACTTATGTTTATACAAAGGCACATTCGCTTTATCTTGCTCTGTGCTGTTAATCATCCAGGTCCATTACTTGTTTCATAGATATGTGTGTCTGTAGACCAGAAGGTGGTGAAACTGGAATTGAGTTCCAAAAAAAGTAGTAGGAATGATAAAGACTAAAGAGAAAGCTGAACTACACATGACACCACCTACAACCGTCTACCCTGCATAAAAGCTTAATTTGGAAATAAATGTGGCCGTATATATTTCTTTGTAGAAAGACAGAAAACCGTGTCCCCAAGCCTTGTACATACTTTTACATTTGCTCAGAGACCATTTTTGGTAATTTGACCTTTACCAGGGAGCTGCAATTAGACATTTAATGTCAAAAGGATAAACACAGCTTTACTTTTGAAATGATTAAAATGCCATTAATATTGTGAATGGGTCTTTCAAGTAATCATCATTGTTATTGTTCTTCACCAGGGACGTGTTTACTTCAGAGGCCAATGGCAGTGGCACTGAGATAAAAGAGATGACTGGGAAACACTTTCCACTCTCTGATCTACTCCTGATTTCCTTTATGCACAGGAGCCATGGAAAGGATCATCTCATGGAAAAGTGAACTGGCAGTAGTTGAGAGATTTTTGAGATAATTGGATGAGCCTGTTTAAACATTTTCTACTGTACAGTAGCACTGTCTCAGTGACCCAGTGCCTTAGAAGGAGGTGACCATGATCTCAACAGCTGTCCGCTGGCTCTTCCTGGTGTCTTTTATCATTCTGACCATTGGTGGGAACGTGCTGGTATGTTTGGCTGTAGGGCTCAGCCGTCGACTTTGGCGCATTGCTAACTGCTTCGTGGTGTTGTTGGCAGTGACAGATCTCCTGCTAGGTCTGCTGGTTCTGCCCTTGTCTGCCACTGTGGAGCTGCGCAGAGGGAAATGGCCCCTCGGAGGAGCCCTGTGTAACATCTACATCTCACTGGATGTCCTACTGTGTACATCCTCCATCCTGACCCTGTTGGCCATCAGCGTGGACCGGTATCTAGCCATTTCAGCTCCCCTTAGCTACTCCCGGAGAGTTACCCGTCTAAGGGTCACACTGGCCATGATCGCCATCTGGGTCTTGTCACTGGCTGTGTCCTTTGTGCCCATCCACCTGGGCTGGAACACAGCAGACTACAGAGTGCAACACTTGGACTGGGGCATGGGGGATGAGGACAAGGAGGGACGCTACTGCCAGTTTGAATGGAATAACAACTATGTTCTTATTTATGCCTTTAGCTCATTTTACCTGCCTCTGCTGCTTATGTGTGGAATGTATCTTTGCATATTCAGAGTGGCACGAGAACAGGTCAGTGTTTATTTTCATTTTGTAAAGCCTCCTGAGGTGGGATATAAAAGGTCATAACTTAAGGCATGCGTTGCTTTTTGCATCTGTGTGAGGCTACTATTTTGGAAATCAAGGCAAAATATGATTTCATATTAGCGATCTGCATTTTACTGGAAAGATAACATTCACAAAGTCACAGTTACTTACTTGTATTGTATTGCTGAAATAAATCCTTTGTTATCAGACCAGTAGGTGAGCTCATCTCATATTCTGTGTCCTCTGGCTCTCTAACCTTTTCTTAACCAATTTTTTCAGGTTCGCCGTATCCGTGCTGCCACTCCATCATTTGCACGCGCAGCATCAACTGCAGCCATAGCCCGAGAGCACAAAGCTACAGTGACCCTGGCAGCTGTACTGGGGGCCTTTGTCATATGCTGGTTCCCTTACTTCACCTTCTTCACCTGCATGGGCATAAAGGAAAAGACAAACCCCCCTAATACACTTCACTCTGTGGTCCTGTGGCTGGGCTATTTTAACTCAGCTCTTAACCCCATCCTGTACCCAGCCTTCAACAGGGATTTCCGCAGGGCCTATGCAGAGCTGCTTCGCTGCAGAGGACTGTCTCACAGAAAGCTGCAGCTTACTCGTGTTTCTGTGCAGAAACGATTGACCTTTACTAATGGACAAAGGGTTCCCCAACAGTCTGAGAAAGACACAGTTAAGAAAGAAACTGAGGGGAAGAGCCTCACCCTACATGAGAGAAATGGTATCCCCGATGAACCAAGCTGAAATGCCATGGATCTGTTGTTCCATTGCTGGAAATGTATTTTGTCAGCAAAATGTTGTCAATTACAAACTTGCTCCACAACTCACAGTACCAGATTAGCTAACCATTTACAGTATCAGTTAGATGTTTAGTGTATAGTGCCACAGATGATACCGTTTATGTACAACTCAAAGCACAACATCATGAACTTGTTTTGCTAGTGTACTGGATACAAAAGTAGTCCATGTGTTTAATGTCTAGGTGCCAGTGTTTTCTTGATTACATGAAAATGTACTTCAATGAAATTCATCATACTGAAATGTCTATTTATTTGACATGTGTCAGGGTGCCCTTTCAGTGGAGAAAACATGATGAAGTGCCCTCCAGGGTGCCCCTCCATTGGACAAAATGTCCTAACGCTGACTAAGCTGTTTCACCAGAAATGCGTCACAACTTTCTGCACGCTGGTGCCCTTTTTAGTTTTTTTCGCCCCTGCCCCTCAAACAGCCTGAGTCTGCCACTGACAGCAATGTAATTCAAAATAAAGAGTTGGCAGAGCAGAGGTAACTGGAATGAATGGGTGACTCAATAAGTTTCCCAGCAAGCTGCATGGAGACACAGGTGGTTAAAAGTTTGCAAACTGTTTATTTTCTCTTCTCTCAACACTGTCAATGAAAGTGAATAAGTGACCAGCAAGTTGATTGGATATGTATAATATGTGTATGTTTGACTTCACCCGAGCAGGGTGGCTTACTGAAAGTTTGAACTCCAACTGGACAAGACATTCAGACAAAATACATCAAAAATGTCTTTTAATTATTCATGCATTCCTGCAACACCATTAAATGCCAGAGTTATGATTAATGCATTACTGAAGTTAATAATTTCTAGTAATGCTGCTCCCAACAAGTCTGACTTATTTTCTAAGACTTCTACTGTACACAAACTGCATCACAATACTATGAAATCTACATCCATGAAATCATCATTATGTTGGATTATGGATTATTGTCATGTGTAGACATCAACATTTGAAATAATTTGACACTACAACCCATTGACAGTCAGTGCTTAGTGGTGTAAGAACAGAATGAGAATACAGGATGAGGGAGAGTACACTGTAAGATGTGGTACCAAGAAATATTTGATTGCTTTTACTTGAATAGTAAAATTATATATTTTTTTGTATTTAACATATTTATTGTAGTATTTTTGTCCCTTACATTTATTTTTTATTAAGTACTATCTAAACCCATCTAATCAAATACACGTTTGCGTAGGTTATCAATGTATTGTAGATACTACTGAAAAAGTAAGTCTGATTTATTTGGTCAGTGGTAACATGCCATTTTTAAAGCACAGTCAAAAACAATACAAGGCAAGCTGAGTGTGATTGTAATGGAAGTTTAATGTGAGTCTTGGTACTGTTGATGGTAGCTGAAGCCAGCTCTTGCAGTAGGCTGCAGCAGGGAAAGAGATTGAAATCCCTATTGAGATGAATTGATGACTTGCCTCAACCTTGTGAAGACATTGGATTCTTAAGTATAAGGTCTGAAAGTGGAAGAGATCCAGCCAGCAGCAGCAGAGTCAGACAGAATAAAATGAAGTAATAAAAATGATTAACCCTAATTCAGGTCAGGTGGCAGAGAAGTAAAAAAGTGAGAATGGAAGTGCAGGGCCATTTATTGGTAGCATTAAATGCAACTGAGTCCTCCTGAACTGAGGAGGATGAATACTGTTCCCAGTCACATTCAGTACATCTCCAGCACAGTAAAAGTCTCTCAGAGTCTGAGTGCGGCGACATGGAGGTAAAAGAGTTGCCTCTATAAAACCTGCTAGAATCCACCAGATGAGGCGCTATGGCTTTATTTACACACATCAAGGTTGACGTTGTGCAGACATGGAGAGAGTAAAAGACATGGGATGTTTACAGGTTGCAGTAACATCTGTATAGTTAAAAATTACATCTCAGTTGGCAAAGTGACTTCCTGGAGCCCCTGTTGGGTGGCAATGTCACAGTGACACACGCCAAATGTTACAAAAATGTTTAAAAAAATTTTTACACAAACATATTATTTAATTTATACATCTTTTAAAAGCCTATTTATTAATCTATATATTTTTAATGTATGCAACAAAAAGGGAAATTAACATTTAGGTCCTGTCATTGGAACAGCCTGTTTAAAATGTGCAGTAATTTTTTGCCTTTGCATTGAAAATAATAGATGCATTTGAAAATGACTTGTGAATCTTGCATTCACTCTTGGTAAATTTGGATGCTTTTCTTTTCTTAACACTTATTGGATATAAAACACTGGAAAGAAATTAAAGAAAAAGAAGAAGAAAAAACATGCAGCTTGCTGTTTCAACTATTCAACAATAGATGGAGCATGTGAAATACGGAAATGTCTTAGATTCATCCAGACCTTTATGGAGCTTTTAACACCTGTCTTTTGTACAATAAATGAGAGATGCAAGTTTGCAATTCGACTTTTGCAAGGATGTTTTTTGTTTGTATGTATCTGTGATGGCGAATTATACAGAATGTTTAATATGAAAATGTCATTACTTGGTAGCCAAAAAAATAACAATTCCTAATCTTAAAAATATATATCAGAGATATGTTATTATGCATAACTAATGAAAAAAGAAGGTTATATAGGTATTGAGAATACAAAAATATGTGACATAATGAATTAGTTCTGGTTTGAAACGCATTTATAATGGGACGTTCCATTCCATTCATGAACAGACTCAACCCATTTAAATCTTATCAGCATGGGTTCTGTGCATCTGTACATTTTTGATGATAAATAGCGTGCTGCAACTGAACCTGGACTGAAAAGAATTGAGAGAAAAAGGAATAATCCAGAAAATAAAAGGATCCACCGCTGATGATCACCATCCCAAGATAGTCAGGCCACATGATATAAGTCTTTTGTTGTTGGACATAATGGGACCAAATCTGTGCCTTTTAATCATGTTAAAAGTGAGTTAAGGGCCGACAGATCCATAATGGTTCCAGGCAGCGTGCGTCATCATGTGTTTTATGAAAATGTATCGCTCGCTCAGAAGTGTGCTAATCCAATATTGTGCTCCTCTCATTGCTTATGAGGTCTGTTGACCGTGCTACCTACCGTGACCTGATCTCTCATTTTCATTGTGGTTATCTGTTTACTCATACGTTGTCATTTCCTATGATAAATCTCTATAGCGCAAATAAAATCCCACCTGCTGTACAATAGAGCAGCATTTATCTCAGCGTACCTAGTTGTATGACTATTGTTTTGGTGTGTGTCTGAGTGTGAACAATTATTTATTTGTGTTAATAGAGCACAGATAATACAAGTAGACGGACGTAGGTACAGTGTTTACAGTGATGTAGGAAATAATCCAACAGTGGGGCTGGAGCCTGCTTTCTGGATTTCCATTTTAATATGATTACAATATGAGACATTGCACACCAGAAACAACATCACTATACTGTACACTGTGCCAAGAAACACTATAACAATAAAAAAAAAAGAGGACAGAACCAGGACAAGAAGAACATTATTCCAGTCTTACCGGGACTTTGATTGATTATATGATCAAGGAGATAAAAGTTCAACACCTGAGACAGACCACAACAGTAGCCCTTTGTTCAATGTGTATTTGTTGGCACAATTACATGCATTTTTGCTGCTTAGACTAAGGTAAGTCTTAAGGATGTAATGAACAGGATTCACTTAAATCATAAACAGGTGTATTTGTTAACTGCTTTCTCCAAAAAGTTGCTTTCTTGCTGAGAGTTAGAAGATTGATACCATTCTCGTGTCTGTGTGTAAAAAATGCTGCTGGTTAGCTTAGCTTGGCACAAAGACTGGAAACAGGAGGAAGCAGCTAGCCTTGCAGGGTCCAAAAGTAGCAAAGTTCCCCTACCAGCACATCTAAAGCTCTGCCCCTCTTGCTGTCTTGTGTTTTTCCTTTGCAGGTGGCTTCCAGGTATAGATGGGTGGAGCCCACTAACTTGACGTCTTGCACCTGGGCAGGCTGAGCTTAGGTTATTTAGGCTGGTTCCTCATTCTGTCTCTCTCTCTCTCTCTCTCTCTCTCTCTCTCTCTCTCTCTCTGGCACCATCACCATTTATCTTTTTGGTCTGAGTTTCCATTGTTCTGCCTGCACATCGCCACACATGCATTCAACACCGCAACCTCCACTGATTTACAGACTACATATTTATTCATAAGTGTTTGTTTCTTTCGTCTTGCTTTAAAATAAAACATTGTTTAAAATACATTACATTTTGTGTGCTCTCCCTCTTTGTCTAGCTCACTGAGCCTGGGCTGTGACAATTCAAAAACCAAAGTGCTAAAACAACACAGGGTGGTTTTACGGGTGGTTATGTGCCGGCTGTCTTGCCTCACCAGATATGGGATAGAGGTCTTTGTCTAAATAGAGAAGGATGACAATACTTGTGTGTCTCAGAGGATGAGCTGGAGCAGTGCCTTCAACACAGGGGCAAAGGAATCACTGCCAACTGCTGTCAGTGTAACTGTAGCAGTGGCATGCTCAGCGCTGAGGCAGAGGGGTTCCACTGTGTTTGTGAGTCGACTGCGACAACTTCTGAGGACACCAATTGTAGCGATTTTGTCAACGGCTTTCTTTGATGTAAAAAAGCAGAGAAGTGGCAGTACTTGGGGCTGGATTACCAACCAGGCAAATATGGAAACCTCCCCAGGGTCCCAAAGCACTGGGTGCAGTGAGGCGGTTTGTGGTCCTGTCTTGTCTACCTGTCTTACAGAAGCAGACAAAATCAATTACATGTTGCATACTCCTAAATAAACATTTGTTCAGCAAATTACTGCAAACAATCTGGACCTATAGGGCCCCCTGGTGGATTAATGCGTGCCTTTCATAGGGACAGCATTCTAGATTTGAATAGGTTCAAAGTGACTGGCTGATCATACACATGCATATTTTTCACTGAGTGGATTCCCAACGATACAGTGCTATGTCTGTGGTGTGTCCATGGGGCATATTGCAGCCTTTATCAAAGAAAGCAGGACAGTAATTGATCTGTTCTCTCAATGTATCTCCACCAGATGGCAGTATAAACTAGTTTTCATTCTGCAGACTTCACCTCCAGATATAATGAGGACCTCTCAAGGTCTTATTCTTTCCCCATGCGGTGTGCATGGTCTGAAGAAAAATAATCTTTGCGACGGAATATGCGGATAAGATTGTATCACAGGGAAGAAGGAAGCATTTTATTGGGTGATATATCTAAAATAGATACACTGACAATGTCATGTTTTGGACTATCTGGTAGAAGCAGGACTCGTCTCATTGTGGCACATATGTCCTCAAACAGTTGGACTGAGAGTTTAAGGGGTCTGTTTGATTCATTAGAAATTCAAGTCATTAAATACCCAAAAAAGCCCTCATAAATGTTACTGCTGGAAAGAGAGAATAAGCTCTGAGATTTGGGAGTAGAAAAATGACTAAAAACTCTGATGATTCTTTTTTAAACCTAATTAAGGTGCATAGTGAAGGTGGAGATGTCTCAGTCCACAGGGACTCTCCTCAGTACAAAGATCAAGTGGAGCAGGAAAGAGAAGTGGAATCATGTCAAGAAAATTACTAATAAAAGAAAATAAGAAGGTGACTTATTATATTATATTATATATTATCTAAGGGAAGGAGTTTATTATTTAGGATATTGACTATATTCCAAATTTCTCTCCAGAACTGATCAAACATTGATTTTGATCAGCAATTCAGAACCAATGCAGGTCACTCATTGGTCAGTTTAGACAGGACATCTTTGCATTATCTTTGTGCACTTGCTTTTATTTCTTTATTTATCCATTTATCTATCTATTTACTTGTGATAAGTGATAAGAAGGTTTAAATAACCTCATACATTATGCAACTGAGTGGGAGGTAAGATGGGCGGTGAGGTGCGAAGCATAAAAAAAGATTCCTTTTTTGATTTCTCTAAAACCGTTTGAGGCTGCAGTGTAAGGTTGTAAATGTTTGCTGCCACTGTGTCTGATTGGAGTGCTGGCTGGTGTTTGTTAAGTCACACGTCCTAAATGTCCCCAGTGGACCTGAACAGGAAAGCAGTTGCCATGGATAATTAAACAAATTTCTTCCGCAGGGTGCACTGGGTGCAGTGAGATTTGCGGGGGTTTGCCAATTGATCTGACTAAACACAAGCAAAAGAGAGAGTTTTTAAGTCTGATGTATACTTTTAATAGTAGCTACTTTTTGTGTTTAATTTCTAATCGGCAGATTTCTTTTGTTTGGCTCAAAAGGCTGTAATTATTATTATTATTATACTTATACCTTCATAGTAGTAACACAGTGTGCTGTACAAGCAACATTCTTCTTCTTTATGCAGATTCAGCTTTCTCTGCACTCCTTTATTGTACCTTAGAGCCAACTGCAACAGAGGTGGAGCCTTCTTGTGTAGTGCTGTATAATACCTCGGCTGAAGTAATTTTTTAAGTGTTGGTTGGTATTCATATGTTACTGTATTCATTGTATGTACTGACCTTTTGGCTGTTTCCACATTAAACTTACTGAGACTCTTGTGCATTTAAACAAGACCATAACAAACTTTTGTCTTTTAGCTTGCTTACTGTATATATTTCTGTGGGCCTGTATGTGTTTAATGTGTGTGGGTGTGAGTTTGTGTGTGGGCCTGGTAAAGCAGCTGTTGGCTTTGCCTCACAGTGCCAGATATCTCAGCTCCATGGCCTCCCACTGTTCTTGTCACTTCTCATCATTCAATGTGCAGATGACTGCTAAACTCCTGTCTAGAGATCCAGAAGCAGGTTTGTATGAGCATGCTCAGTGCGGGGGCTAGGGAGACTTAACATCCGAGTGTAGGAGGCAAAGGCAGTGCTGCAGCAGCGTTCAGCGGCTGCTTGCACCCAGTAGCAGTTTATATACTGACAGCACTGGATAGCCAACCCTGAGGAACAGAAAATCCGAGGCATCACTCACCAGAATTATATAAAATGTAAATGTAAAAATGTAATTCTTCTTGCTTCTTCTACTTCTAACTGCCTCACTATGGCAACAATATTTTCCAAAAAACAAGTAATTTTTGGTGAGTTTATTTATTAATATCTCCGTATCACCATGGACACTGATATTTTCTATGTATCTGAGAATTATTTATTTTGTTTTTTTCCTCTCCATCCTTCCTTTGGCTTTTTTTAGTGCAACCAACATGCCAACATGATTTTTTAAAAACTGGCCAAAAGTGCCCCAAAAATGTTTTAAATAACATTATTTTGTCACTGAGGCAACAAAATCCTGTCACAGTCAATGCCACTATACATTAGGAAACATGTTTTTAGGGATGTAAATCTTGTTTGTGGGTGGCATATTGGCCCAATAGCTTTGGTTAGTTTATTGTGATGGAAAGCCTTTGGGTCAGGCTTGTGATGAGGGGCTACATAAATAACTTGACAGTGGCATGGAGAGAAGAGCCCAGATGTGATGCAGAAATTCGACCAGGTTGTGCGTTGGCAGAGCCATGCTTGCTAATAGTCTCCAGGGGGCAGACATGGTTACTCTGAGTGGGTGGATGCATGAGCAAATGAAAATGCCAGCCAATTGCTTTCTGGATTTTGGTTTTGGGGCTGTGGTGGAAAGTGAGTACTCTGGTAAGTACTGCACTTAAATATAGTTTTGAGGTACTAATACTTTATTGAGTATTTCTATTTTATGTTATTACATTTCAAAGGGATATATTGTACTTTGTCTTACAGAATAAGAGGTCACAAGGGTGTAGCTGGGGCTCCCTTGTCACTTTTCAGATATCTGCGATGTCTATAAGTGAGTTCCATCAAAAGTCCTCATATGGTTGGTTTACATAACTGTTTGAGGCCCAAAGAGCTCAAAATATCCAATATCTCACCAAAAAAGTAAAGAAAATTGGAAAGTCCAATATATGAATAAAGATTTATTTGGAAGAATTTTGTTTTTTCTTCCTCTGCCATTAATGATCTCCAACCCTTCAGATTTCTCTTGGGACCCCTTGGAAGTGGCCTCACCCTATCAGGAACCACTTTACTAAGCTACATAACTAAAAAAGTTCAAACTATTTCTCCATTATTGACAATCTAATGATGTAATATATACAGAAGACATTTCACTGCAGAAAGAGTACTTTTGATACTTAAAGGTCCAGTGTGTAACATTTAGGAGGATCTATTATCAAAAATGGAATATAATATTCATAGGTCACCTGAACATAGGAATTGTTGTGTTTTCTTTACCTTACAATGAGCTGTTTTTATCCACAGACACCATGGGTGGCCTTCAATGGGCTCCACCATGTTGAACCACCATTTTTCTACAGTATCCCAGAATGGACAAACCAAACACTGGCTGTAGAGAGGGCCTTTCATGTTTTTAGCGACCACAGTAGTTTCTCCTTCACACTTTGCAGCCCGTTGTTCCAGGTCGTCAAATACAGATGCGAGTGGTGTTCACTTAGTTGCAATCTACAACCACCAGAGATTCACCACTAGATGCCACTAAATGCTACACACTGGACCTGTAAAGAACACTTTGCTGATAATATTTCTGTTCTTTTACATAAGTCAGTAGATTTTGGATGCAGGACTATTACTTGTAATGGAGTATCTTAAGATTGTTGTGATGGTTCTTTTACTTTAAGTAAAGGTGTTGTGGTTTGGATACCTTTCTTTAAAGAAAAGAAACTCCCTCAGTTAGATTGTTAAATGGTCTAATAGGCTGATTGGTGACATGTACACCAGAGAGTGGATAACCAGCTAGATTTTAAATGACGACTCCCACCCTCTGCACAGCTCAGCTTCTTCCTTCTGGACGGAGGTTTATAGTCGAAGATGTAGAACAAAGTGGTATAAAAATAGCTTTGTTGCAGGAGCTATTATTCAGATCAACAAGTTGTAGTTACATGTCGGAGAGTTTTTGTTGTTTTTATATGTTTTTTTTTTTACACTATTTATTCTAGTGGTTATTTATCTAAGTGGGTTTTTATTGATCTCTCTTTGTAGATCCTGATTTTTAGAGCACTTTTACTTTTTTTATCTTTATCCTTTATCGTGTTTGTATGATGTTTGTCTTTTGTCGGAGTTGTTTTAATATTTTTGTCAAGGACGTCAAGGAATGCCTTGTTATTTACTGCAAACCAAATCTACCCCTGGGTACAAATAAACTAACCTTAAACCTTGGTGTACTTTTTCCACCACTGTAAAGCAGTTACAAAAGAACATAGATTTTCTTGGATAAATCAAATGTTCTTATAAAGGCAGGGAAGACCCAGTTCATGAATGCAATCTGCTATCAATCCATACAAATATAATGTAATTACAGTTTCTATGTGCAGTCTGCCACTGACACTGGTGAATAATACAAAATGTATTCTTAGGGTTGCAATAACAATGTAATACTACCTCCTTTTATCCTTTCACAATAAAGTCACAAATAAAGGCATCTTATCTCTAGGTCTAGGTTGTGACAGTGTGACAAAAACGTAAACCAGAGTCAATAGGTTGATGCTGTTAAAAACAAAAACATATGTTTCATTTTACTCTTTTGTTTTTGAGTATCATTTAACTGTAATTATTAATATCCTGCACATACTTATACTCATTTTGACAGTGTGGTTAGCACTGTGTTGCTATATTTACTTTGCCACTCTGTGAGTAAAGTGCTCCTCTCCTGGGATCGAAACAGGATTGTGCAAACAACCACCAACGACCAAGTCACGAAAGCTATGTTCTTCCCTTTGTGGTTTCTTTTTTTTTTTTCATGTGTGACATTTAGGATAGAGACAGTGTTAGATAGAGACTTCCTAAAATGCAATGGTGACTGTGCCTGTTAGGAGATAAAAAGAATCTATACACATTAAATATAGACAAGATGATGAAGGGGAAAAAAATAGATGGAGGAAGCACTGCGTCATGCTCTCCTCAAGCATTTCCCCAGTCCAGTGGAGTGAGAAACAAAAAGCTCTGTCTACACAAGCAAACTGCAGGCTTACATAACCTGTCTTAAAGTCATTTCGTGACAGAGTACTCTGTGTGTTTATGAGCGATTGCTTGCATATATGTGAAGTTGGCAAAGATGATTTGGTGATATTTCAGCAGTGATACCTTCTCAGTTCTGGTGGGTGCCTGATCACCATAGTGACAACAAATGTGCATTCAGGATAACAGATGTATTTCCTGCCATAGCTGTACAGATAATATTGATGGTGACTAATATTATTGCTGTGGACAGCCATTCTTCTGGTATGGCCTCTGTTCTGTTAGAGTTTTCTTCTTTCAATCCATCTTTTTTCTTTTTCAAAACCATATCCACATGTACATGCACAGCAGTTCACATACATATTGAGAAACAGCCTTCTCTGATCTCTTTCTGAGACTTCCTTTTATTTTTTTCAGAACCTTAATGTGTATGCATTGCTGTACAATAATAATATTTGTGTACCTTGTTATTTTAATGAAGGGTTTCCATATGTTGACACAAGAGAAAGCTAGCTGAGCTGTGAGCTCAACACTCTGCAAGGAAAGGTTCTTAATCATTTTTGATATTCGCACATCCGGCAAATATAAAACTAATATGAATATGAAAGTAATAGTTTCTATAATTTCAAATAAAGTATTATTAACATTTTATTATGGCAATTGGGGTTGATTTTTTTATTTTTACATGTTGTCAACACTTTAAAGTAAATAGAAGAGGTTTGGGGTGCAGTTTTCTTCCTTTATGTGACTTTGGGGGAGAGAAAACATCTTGCAGAAAATACATTTAAGCCCTAAATGTCTAATTCATAAAGGCATTGATGTACTGATTTAATACAGTGGACTGTATTACTTATGTTTCACATTAAGCTGTGATATGCCCCCTTGCAAAACACATTGATGATGTGTCCAAGTAGATGGTAAGACGTGTGAAAAGGATATGATAATATTGTGTAATTTCACAATAAAATGCCATGAATGATTGTCCATTTAATGTAAAACATTTAGTACAAAAGGGAAAAGATGCTGTAAAAAACTTTAAAAATATGTTTGCCAGAGGGATTTGAGCTCTAGCCTGTAAACCATGAACCACCAACCTTATTTCCCTCCCTTTTTCCCACATTGATCATGGATCATGCAACTGTGTAGAATTACTATAGAAAAAGGTAGTAGAATGAGCATTTGCCAGACCGAGAGGAAGCACAAATGCGAGACAGGAGGAGGGAGCATACAAGAGGGAGGGCGGGTACGGTGGTGGCTGCTGGAGCTGTCTGCAGTACAGATCTGCTGAGAGCACCAGAGCAGAGCTCCTCCACAGACCACAGCCGCAGGGCTCCCACTGCAACTCAGAGGAAAAACCTCACACACAAATATATATACTGGAGGAGAAAGTGCTACCTCACAATACCTCAAGACAGAGAACAAGACAAAGAGGAGGAGAGAAAAAGAGTGATCAGACAAATACGGAGAGGAGGTGAGAAGAACTGGATGAGGTTCCCTGCTCTTTTTTTGGTACGAACAGAACTTGGGCACACAGCTCTTCACATTCTACTTTGGGAGTGCATTCAATAATTTATTTTCTGCCTCATTTTGGTCTGTGGAACACGACTTTGCTCTTTTTTTTTTTTTTAAAGTTTAACATACAGATCTGGATTTATATTTCCAATCAACATTTCTGCCTGTCTGGCTCTTTTGGCAACTCTAGCACCGTTTCAGTACCTGCCTCTAAACTTACCCACTCTTCCTTCGAGTGTGTGAGCATCAGTTTCTGACTGAGTGAGTATCTGAATACCTGTTCCTGAGTTAATAGTGCTTGAGTTAACAAGTACTCAGGTCTAACTGTGTGGAAGAGAATATAGATTGTTTGGTTTTCAAGCTATACTACAAGCTTAATTTTGCAGGTGAATTATTATCTCAGTTCTTTCTTTTTTTCTCCACAAGGATCCCCTTAAAGGACCTGATCATGTCTCATCACAGAAACTACTGAAGAAGATTCTTCTTTGCAACAAGGATTGCTCCCCTATAGCAGCAACTCCTGAGAGAACATTGTCAATACGCTTGCAAACTCAAACCTTTTTTTTTATTTATTTATTTAGATATATTGGAGGACACAGATTCCCTCTGCCTCTACCTCAGGATGGCTGGCTGTACCAGCCGCTGCAGGCAGGGGGTGCTCAAATTAATCCAGTCCCTGCAGAGATTGGTCTCAGGAACCCTCACAAAAGGTACTTTGGCTTTTTACTCTAATGCAGATACACTCACTGTACATCTATCACTTAAGTGTGCATTCACACAGTTTATTTGTACTTGATTAGATACCGTGTGGGTTTGTGCAAGGCTACGTCCAACATGTAATGGATTTTTAGAGTGTCTTGGTAAGTGTGGTCCAGTGGTGTTTTAGTTGCACGCCACTACTGAGTTTGGACACATTGTGATGCACAGTATATTGCCATGTGGTCAAGGTCAAGATTCAGTTCTCACAGCAAAGTGTTGTCATGGTGTCATTGAGCAAAACACTGATCACTTGCTATCTAAGGGTTTCAGCATATATAAATACAACATTACCTCCTATTTAGTGATGCAACAGTGCTCCAATGTGACATAGTTTGGTGTGGAAATGCAATATAATTCCTAATCTTAATGCCAATAGGAGCTGCATAACTGAGTATGAACTGCTTTGGACACTGAAATAGAGATATACTGTAACCGGTGCTGTGCTGGTGGCAGCTATATTGAGCTATCAGGTCAGGTGAGCCAGATATGGATAGAGAATTTGTGGCTCTTTTACATATAGGCCAGTGGCACCCAACCTAGGGGTCAGTCAACAAGACATTTCTCTTACACACAATGCTTTTCTTGAATTTCTCAACTTTTAGCTTCTTTTTTTTTTTTTGTGAAATACTGAATATTTTCACAAAAAATATATTTTTTAAACTGCTTCAAATGAAATAATCTAAGATGGAAAATTCCCTCTTTGGTTGGAAAACCACAAAACTACTCAGTCAGTGCATATTAGAATTACAGATAAAATGTTCAGATTGATCAGTTGTCTATTTCTATTCCTATTTAAATCAGAGTTTGTGTTTAATCTTGTTTATAATGCACATTTGTTTGCATTACCATCAAGGGTGTTAAAAAGGTTTATTGGGTTGGCCTATGGGGTGCCTTATATTTGAGGTAGATTAGGCTTCTTATGGACTTTCCGTATGATCTTGGTAAGAGCTGAATGATGAGGTCATGTATGCGTCATCCGTACACCCCCTTTGGGCAACAGTTGAGATGCACTCTCAGCATCTTGTCGTGTTAAAAGCCCTGGCTCCCTTTCTCCTCGCGACCTCTATCTTCCTTTAGTTGAAAGTTATTTCTCACCTCAACAGCAAAAAAACAAAAACAAATGCTGAGTCATCAAGTCAGAGTGCAGCTGTAAGTCAGTCACGACTGATAAAACACACACTGATCTGTTCTCACTTCCAAAAAAAACTCTGACCTGCATTTTAAATTCAGATCTGAACCTGCCCACAAATATGGCGTATGAAATATTAGTGCAGGTGCACGCAATGCTTCATTTAAACTCTCACTGTGGGCCATGGGCATTTTTCCACCATGTGACTCCTCCAATATACATGTAGTCACTATTTTCCAACCACCACTCTTAGTATCTAGCTCTAAATCACTTGCAGGCATATCTACTGCCAGGAATTGATTTCTTACACAAATACAAAAAAAGCAACAATTTCATCAGACTGACAACAAATTCACAAATATGACACCTGGATATGTGTTTGGGATATTTTACAAAACCTATGAATTTTTTCTTGGATTTTTTATTTTATTTTATTTTTTTCAAAAGGAGCAAGCAATTTGTGAGGATACAACTTAATAGTAGCTTGTATAATGTTGGATGATTAACCAAACTCTTGAAGACTACTTATATCTCATTACCTGGTTACTGGTTGTCCAGCAGAACCTCAAAACCTCAAAACATCTGAAGTATATGCATATTAGTATGGTGTTCCTTTAATACAAAAACTACTAAGTACTGCAGTTTTTGCATCTCTAATATAAAATAAGTACAGATGTATGCTATGTAATGCACCCTGCTGAGAGTGAAACTATGTGTTCTATGGTGGCTTTGTCAGCTACTGTGCTATTCTGGAAATAATACAGCCTACTTATGGCTGCATGGGTTGACAATCTAGGTCATGCACTGCAGCCACATATCTTAAGTGTCTAAAGACTGGGAGTCTGTGGACTATCCATCCTTTTCTATAACAAAGAAATGCGTAAGGGGCTAAACTTCAATTGCTAATTACCAAAGTAAAGCCAGACGCTTAGGAGCGGAGGCAGTATTTACAGCTACTGTATGTATATTTTTGGTTTTTGTTTGGGCGGTGCGAGAGCAAGAGACAGAGCTTGAAAGCGGCTGTCTCACACCAAAAACAATATTCAACCCAGAGCACAGTTTAAGTAATCCTTGCACACTGATTTGAAAGCACAGATTTATCTTTCTTTTTTTTGGCCTCTAGGACACCTTCGGGGCTCCTAGTGTCATTATTTGTAGATACCAGTTATCTTGCCCTCTGTGTCCTCAAAGGCTGAGTAGTTGATGAAATGAGTTTGAATTCTATTGAACATCCAGTCCCTTGATACTGTGCCTCTGTGCATGTTTGCTGCTTCTCCTTAAATGTTCTTTTGTGCTTTGCTGATTGCAGCACATGGCACTGACCTTTTGTTACTTAAGGTTACGATGCTTGTGCATTAGGCTGTGTCTTCATTTGTGCCATAATTGAATGTCACTGAGTTAATTAAGTGCCTCTAGTCAAAATACAAAGTTATACATTTAAAATGGGGCCCAGTGATTCCATCGCTTCAGCCCACATTGGGAATGTTCAATGTATGGGTTTTGCCTGCTAATGTGAGAGAAAATATAGATAGCTTTCTAATTTAGCACAGCACTTGGTGTAATGTATGTGTGCTTCAAAGTGTGAATTATGCAATATCAGCTCATCATTGTGATATATCAGGATCAACATGCCCAAGATTGTATATATACATTCCAAAAGGGGTGCACACAAACAGTAAGACTAATTGTAATACAGTGCAATTTAGTATAAAACACTAAGAACTAAGGCCTCAAAAAGTAAGCTGAATCAACATGTTACTGATACATACTCAATAGAATCGGAACACTAACAAAGTAAGGCTATTGTGTTAGATTGTATTACATATTGTACATATGACCCCCTTATTGTGTCCATAAATACAATACTAGAAAAAAAAAAGTTGAAAGTCAGAGTCAAAGTCAGCTTTATTGTCCAATAAAAAATAAAAAGATGCATAATATTTGTATTGTGCATTTTTTCAACCAAATGTATTTGCAAAACATCTAATAACTACTTTGAACTACTTTTTTAATTCCCAACCGCAGGGCTTTTCTAATTTGGATCACCAGTTGTGGCTTAATTCTGTCCAACGCACATTTTAAGTGTGTTCACAACCATAAATAAATAATAATATAATATAATAATATAAATGACATTGAAACAGTGGAATTCATGGGTAGGGTAACATAAGACATATTCAAATAACATAATGGAAAGAGTTGATCTTTACAGTAATCTACTTTTTCAATGTTCCAGATTGAAACTTTTCTCTGCACAATTTACTCTTACAGGGCATCATCTCCGCTCTGCAGAATGTATGATAGCATGCAAAATCTGCCAACCCAGTATGTGGGTTGTATCATACAGTATGCATGGAAGAAGACATGAAAATATGCACACACATGCATATTCAGTTTCACACACGCAAGCATGTCAGGTAGACTGAAAAATATAAGTCCTTTATCTCCAACACACACACATCTCCAGCAGATTGATTTGTCATGCATATTTGCCTGCACACACTTATATATATATATATAGTGACATGAACTGTAAACTGACTTTAACCTTTTAAAATGCTCTGCTTACAAACGCAGCAGCATGTATATTCATCTTCAGACCTTTAAACACTGCAAGCTGGAGAGTCAGAGTTGCGGAAATATGGGTGGTGAAATGCCTAGGGCCTTAAGCTCACTGACACTTGCTGTTATTCTTAGGTCCCTAGTGGCTGGTGTATTTTAAGTGTTTATACTTTTATACTGTACTTTATATGCTTGAATTTGATACTAGCTCTTCTGTTACTTCATTTAATGCTTAAATTCTTTATTATGACTGAACAACACTTTCAAGACAGTGTCTATGCATGCAAAGCTCCTAGTGAAATTTTAGGAACCCATTGATAATTTGTCTTTTATCATTATGTTTCAATGTGTTATTATTATTATTATTATTATTATTATTATTATTATTATTATTATTATTATTGTTATTAACATTTTTAAGGGAAATTGAGGAGGCACCTGCTGAGCTGTCCTGTTGCGTGTAATGTACTTTTTATGAGGCTGTGAAATGTAAAGTTAAGACTGTACTCAGCACTAATAAACATTAGCCAACCATTCATAGTGAGTGTTGGCCGCTATATGAGCCACTCAGCAACTAAAATTACTCCTAACCCAAGTATTGACATTTCCATATGTGTCTGATAAACCTAAGCTATTAACATTTAACAAAAAGTGATTGAACAAAACATTGTTAAGGAGCCTGGTAGTTCACCTGGTGGCATGTGCGTCCCATGTGTGAGTCTTTAATACAGTGAACTGGATTTGATTCCAAGCTGTGGCCCTTTGCTGCATGTTCCCTCTCTCTCTCTCTCTCTCTCTCTCTCTCTCTCTCTCTCTCTCTCTCTCTCTCTCTCTCTCTCCCTGTTTTCCTCATCTCTTTTTTTTTTAAATTGTAAATGTTGTGTGGTGGCTGATCTATGCTAATGTAACAAACTTGATGTGAATATTGCTGTATAATGTATTGTCCGAGTCAGTTCACTCACTGTATGACTCCTATACAGTGATGCTACTGTTGCATACAGCTTTGCATTTAAGTTAAATAAAGTAGTGGATATATTAGTTCAGCATTTAGCATTATCCCATAATTATCATTTGTATCCACAGTAGCCAAAGTTCAGCAAAAGTTACATAGTCTCATCATGTTGAGACCAAAATGCTTCGCCTGTACCGTAATATACACATTCTGGTGTTTGCACCATTTTTCGCAGCAACTCAGGTCCTGTTGGAAACAGCAGGAGTAGGTGGAGACAGAAACCCACTCATCCGGCCCCATGCTGCATC